AGCTAATCGTTGTTTCACGTGAGTATTTACTACCCAGAGCGTTCAGTGGACTTGATTGATCTGGGCAATGCAAAAAGGTGAGGCCACAAGCACAAGAATTTTATAGCACCTATAAAGTACTGTATACAGTTTTTGCTCAATTTTATGCTGTTAAACTAAGCATTTGGTATCATATGGCACTTTAAGTACTTTGATTTATGTTAAGACAGAAATTTCATCTGTAATAAACATTCTAAAGTATGAGTTTAAGAGCAATCTACTGTATTTATTTGTGACATAAATACTCACCTGCAATGCATTTGAGAATCACCTTAGACTTAACTCGCACTACATGTTACAGCCATTATGCTTCAGGCACAGCAAGGTCATATCCAAGGTGAAGACAGAAGTGACTGGGAAGAAAGGGGTCGCATGGAAAATATTTTGAAATAGCAAATGGAAGAATATTCTTTTTCTCCTGTTAAGTATTCTAGATACATGAGTGTCATTTCTTACTATATAAGTCAGTCCTATGTTATACTAAACAAGATGTAAGGGTCCTATGTTATACCAAACAAGATAAAGTACAAATCCAGTCTTGTTTAATATGAAATATTTAAGCACACAGCCATGAAAATAACATGAGAAACCCACTGACACCTTTGAAAATAAATATAATAAAGTTGCGCGTGTCTCAGGTTTATGAAAACTCCCTCAAGGTTGAATGAAAGCACAGAAACCCTTTGTTGTACTGGAACCTGCCACGGCTGTGCTCCATGTGAAGAATCCTCTCACCATTACATTTGCTATTTTGGTATTGAATTAATTATGCTCAGTGGAACCTGCTTAAGTGTAACATAAAGTAATAATTTTTAAATTATTTAGGTAGCTTTTTAAATAGCTTAAATAGCTTAATCCTTCCATCTTTGCATATTATTGTATGATAGTAATAGACTGTGGGAGAGTGGCAATAATGTAATTGATATTATTAGGAATGAATGACAAGGCTTCATTGGCAGAGCAGGATGTTAACACTCAGGCATTTATTTCTTAGGAAATCATAGAATAAGTGAATTCAGATGGACCTCTGCTCTCCCAAAAGCAGGCAGAAGAGAGGACAAGAAAAAGCAAGACGTTATGAAATAATGAATTTGAACTTTTCAGGATAACACAGCTCATTTGGGTCATGACATGGGAGCTCAAAGGTAATGTGTGGCTATGCAGGTCATAAAAAAGACAAATCCAGGGTTCTTTAGTGTAAATAATAAAATTAGAGAGAGATTATTAAACAGTATTCAACCTTTGAGGTGGTATGTGTTGAACTAGCCTTGTCTTGCTGTTTTTACAGGAAAAGGAAGGAGGCGCTGTCTTCTTATGTCTGTTACATATCGATGCAACAGTGGCACACTGAATTTCTTACAGTAAGGAAGACTTGGACTATAATGCTACAGAGATTTACATAAACTAAAATGGGACAAGAAGATGGGAAAACAGTGCTTAAAATCCTACTGCTAAGTTTGCAGAGAGTCAGGATGATTTCTTTGCTGAGTATTTATTTTTCCAGGAATCCTTTGTCATCGTACTTGGCAGAGACAGTCTGCCATGATTGTCAGAAGCTCTCAAAAATACTTTTGCAGAGTGCATTTTTTTGGTCTTTAGTGTACAAAACACTGCAACAAAAGTACCCACGATGAAATCCTGATCCACAAATCAGCTTGAAAGATTGCAGGACTTTTTGTGCTAGTCAATTGATTAGTTGAAGTCAATCAAACAAAAGCTTTGGTGAGGATATCCCCAGAGCCTCTGAAAGCTGTTCACTTCCATTCTTCCCATTGGCATACACAGCTGAATCTGGCCATATTATCATCCTAAACCACAAATTGCAGTTTAATATGTTTACTTGCTATGTGGTTTTGCCTATTACTTTGATTATGGGGCTAGAAAGCCTTTTTGAGACTTAAGAGAGAAAATCTGTTTTACTAGGTCTTCCTTTAAATATGCTCACTGATAAAATTGATCAGAAGTTACATGAGACAGTTTCTGTGGGATCCTTTTGTCAAAGTGCTGGCGTTGTGTCACTGCCCATATGAGTTACACATCAGATAGATTTGATTTGAAATTGATATGAGAGTATTGTAGTTTAAAGAACAAAATCCAAGTACTACTGCTCAAGACAATGATAAAGCATTAAAATGGCACTTCTGAGTGTGTGCTGGTTACCTCTCTTTCAGCTTGAACTACCACTTCTCTATATTTACCTGTGCCTTCTGAACCGACATTTAAAAATAGTTACAGGGAAAAGGGCAGTATCTTTCTGATTGTAATATTCTGACACTCTACAGATTTGTTAAGTTTAACTTTGCTGGATACAGCAGCCTGGAATTGGTACCTATCATTTTATGGACTAGGCTGTGCAGTTCATTTCTTGTTGGTGAGGGTTATGTTCCTTGATTCACAATATAATGTCTCAGGAATTCCTGTGGTTAAGATTATGCTCAAAATGGAGCAGGAGCGTCTTGGGGAAGCAGCTGTGAGCCAGAGAGAAGTCAGTTCTGTTGACTCTGGCTCTGTACTTCATGATCAGAGCGGGCTGGGGCTCCCTCCGTCCTCACTGACAAGGGATCCAGCTGTCTCCTGAGGTTTCTCAGCATTTTCTTTCTGAGAATGATGGGGGGTGGGGAGTGGTAGTGTGGGGTCTCTGGCCTTTTGCAGCAGCCATATTTGTGTCCTGGAGGGAAACTAGAGTGTGTGCATGAACAAAAAACATTTTCTGTGGATTGGAGAGACCTAGGAAAGTACTGGGTGGCATGACAATGGTCTCCTGGAATAATTGGGCTAGTTAGCTAGGAAAAAGACTACATTTTTTTTCCCCGTACACAGGCTTTCACTCTGCTCTCCAAAGTTCTCTCTTTTATCTGTGTATATAAACTACCTCCCTTTAATTATGCCCCATATGAAACTCAAGGTGATCTGCGTAGCCATGCGTTACCTTTGAGCTCCCTCAAGCAGCAATGAAACCCTCAAGTTTATTGCACAATGCTTTTGCAACAAAGCTTTGCTGTTCAAGACCATGTTTTTAAGAGCAACTATAGTAAACTGAAAGAGCTGCTCTGATTTCAAGGAACCTAGACTAGTTTAGGGCAGTTAAAAATGTGACCTCATAATTTCATAACATAGTTCTCTTTTGACAGATCTGTTAAAAAAACACATATTGAGTGAAAAGTAAGCATTTTATGCCCAATAGTAGTTCGCAGCAGATGCACTACAAGCATGCGATACCAGCGTGTTTTGAAAACTTATTTTGACTTTCTTGAATGGTTACTGACCAAATTAATGACAGAGTAGCTGGAAAGTGGACCTCTTGGTTCACAGCATGTCAGGTAAAACTCAATGCTTTTCTTTCTATCATCCTGAAAAGGTAAATAAATCCTTTGGCTTAAATAACAAATATTTCTGCCCTCATTAAGAACATATTTTAATCAAAAAGCACCACTGTGATGACGTGCACATAGGATTCAGGTCATCTTTGGTGTAAGAAGATGAAATCTGACAGAAGGCTGGACCTTTTTACAGTGAATAAGTAGCTTTTTCAAGGGTTTGTCTAATATGGGAAGACCTTTTTGGACCAAACAGCTCAAGTAAAATGACTTTACTATCCAAAAGGAGGATAATGGAGCAATTTTACAAGCTTTTGCATTTCCCTGTATGCTTATTGTAGGGCTTAGTGCAGTCTAAGCTTTTTTTTTAGTTTGCTATTGCTTACAAGAGGTTTATTCCTCTTGAATGTCTCAAGCAAAATGCTAAAATAAAAAAATGAAGCCTAACCACGTGAGGAGAAAGGCTGGTGAAGCCCTGGAGGCCGCAGGGACCTGTCAGGGCCAAAGTGCTGGCTGCGGCTACTCCTTGGCAGCTCCAGCTCCAGGCAGGGACCATGTGGACTGGGCAAACCTGCCTGCAGGAAAAACAAATGTACCTCTCAGGTTTTACGTTTTAAATCAACTGGAGGCAAGAGAGGCACCCTTCCACCATGGACCTCGCTCTCCATTTGACCACAATGTGCCTGTCTTTAAAATCCCTTTAAATGGAGGCTATGGGTGCTAAAACCTGAAATAATGTCCTGCCAGCTGTGTGCCTACCACACAGTTTTGTCACTGCTGCAATGCTGGGCATGCTTTACGTAGCTAATGCCCTCACCATACCATAAGGTCAGTTTAGGGGTACGTTTCAGGGGGATTTTAAGGTTTTTTTGCCACTGTTATGTTCCTGTTTTAACTCAGAAGCCTCACTAGTTGTAGTATCTGATGCCCGGGATTTTACA